ACGGTTCACTGGGCGTTTCACTTAAGCCGCCAGTATATCCGGTTGAATATTGATCTCCGGCCTGGGTTCTAAACGCAGCATTAAACGCAACGATTCGAATCGAAATTATTGGGACGTTTAATCTCGATTCACGTTCGACGCTGAAGGAAAAAGAAAGAAAGAAGAAACTGCAAATGAAAAGTTTTTACGACACACGATAAACGCGATCCGTGAATAATTCGACGCTTCAAACGCGTTACACTGCAGCCGAATTATTATTAGATATCGCTGCATAAATTCTGCTTGGTCCCCCTTCGTTTGTACAAACGTTGGGTTGCTCCATAAAAAGTAACTGCGCTTTTTTCGCGTGCGAGTGAAAGGCGAATTTTTCGTGATAGACAAAAGCTTTATTAAAATAATATAATTTTTATTACGCGATATACATTGTCCATTTTTGTTCGACCAGGTTTCGCCATTTTCCAGACAAACTCACGATTTCGCGTTCAGATTTCTTTGGGAAAGAAAGACAGTTCCAAGAACAATTTGATATTTAGATTAATTTTATAAGCTTGGAGGGTATTTTGGCTACAACAAAGTGCGACGAAAATGTTCCGCTTTGAATTGTTTCCATTTTGAAATCAACGCGAAGCAAACAATTGTTAGCGAAATCGTGCATTTTTTCTTTTTTAAGCTCGAACAATCAGATATATCGGATTACTCGATGAATTTGCGGTTTGAAATGAAGTTAGTTAAATTTTAAGATGCACGTCCATCTCTGTCAGAAGGGAAACGCAATTACTTTTTTGGCCAACCTACAGTACATCATATAAGCTGATACAAATCATACTTTGAGAGTTAAATTTGATTATTAGATTGAACAATCGGGCCTTTGGACAATCAGAAAAAGAATAAAAGATTTACAATATTTATGATAAAACCTGAATAAATGAAAAATAACCTAATTACAAATTCTCAGTGTAACGATAAACTTGTAAGAGATTAATTCTGACGGACAATTTAATTTCTGCAATAACGAAATATTTTTTTCTGCGCAGAGAGAGAGAGAGATAGTTATTCGCAGGAGAAAATCATCATTCTCGAAATTTCCTCACGAAATTGCTACTTTCGAGAACGAGTTGTAAAAATTTCTTTCCTTTACGACTGCCAGTCTACGTTCAACTTTTGTTCCTCCGTTTGCCACTGGGAGAGACGAACCCCTCCTCAAGCTCTCAGGAATGAGAAACACTTCCTCGGAAAGATTTCCACCGGTACTTCGTTCCCTGTGAATCCTGATACGAACGTAAATAATTCGAAGTTTCGTGCAGCCGGAACGATTCAGCAGGAAAATTTCGTTTCGTCTCGTTTCGTTTCCACCGTTACCCCGGCAATAAACTTTCCCTTGCATAATTCTTCAGCCTCCCTTTCTACCAACATCCACCGCTGGGAGGAGGGGGTAGACGCGATCATCGAGCTACGAGCAGATCTTTCGATCGTCCATCTCGAATTCCCAGTGATCCTGCGTCTCTAAGAATTCTAATGAAACACAGGTTTATCACAGGTGCGTGTGGTAACTATTAGAAATGGAATAAAATTCGAGGTTCCACGTACTCGTGGCAATAGATTTTCTCTCTACTTTCCTTTCAATGGAAATTGTATTCAAATTAAATCAATAATTCTTTGAATTATTATATATAGAAGCGAATTTATTTATTTCTATTAAAATTAAATGATCGAGAAGTATGCAACGCACGCGTAGAAATTATTTTATTTAAAATTAGAGGGCCAAAAGTTACGCGTTATATACCACGTATTTAAAAGCCTTCAGAAGCATTGTTTGATCAACTAGAACTTTAAATATTCGACGAATCGATTTATCCAATGGAAGTTGAATTAAAATTCCATTTTTTAACCCCTTGACGCACGAATTAAGTGAAATTCGATATGACCAAAAGATGATACTTATCTTTCATTTTAACATTTGTGTGGTAAACTTAACAGAGATAATTTTTCTACTCTTATTATATTTATATATTGCCGCAAAATGTCGTAAACACAATGCTTATTAACAAAATTAATAAAAAAAAAAAGAATGATGAAAGAACAAATTAATAATTCAATAGTCCTTAGAAAACGCATGATGTCTCCCAGACGTCATTATATGTCAAGAGAATGCAATATTTCACAACATATACTTTTCATCTGAAATTTACTTTTCGTTTGCACTCCTTAGCACTAGGACTACCAAAATGGTCAGAATGGCTAATCTATGATTCACTATGGAAATTTCATATATTTGCAACAGTGTATTGTTAGATACTCGAGTGACTTTTGACAAAATATATTACTAGAACTATACTATACCATTAAAGTGCAAGCTACCAAATATATTAATAGAAGCTTTGTGTGTTCTTTATTGTATTATTAACTTTTTCTTCTATCTTGAACTTTAATTTCTTTGCTATGAACACTTTAATGGTATAGTATAGTCCTTGTGTTAAGAGACTTGTGTTATTTCGTCGTGTGAAACGTCCTGTATATCGATGTATGCAGAAGAGGTATCCGAGGTTCCTCCCTGAAAATCCTACTTTACGTCGGCTACTTTTAGTACCCAATCTCGCATGCGTCAGCGACGCGACGTTATTTGAATTGATCGATATCTTTCGTAAATGTAAATGTAATTTTGCTGAACACAAACCTGTCTGTTCTAACTAAAAAGAATGGTCCTCATAAGATGGGCATCGAGAGGGGATCGATCGAGTTGTAAATCGTCAGATTTAAAATTCTATTCGTTTAAATTCTGTTAATACAATCGTGACGATCATACTGATTGTCACCAGACAAAAAAAAAAAAATAAAAATGGAGATTCTTGACGAGTACTCTACGTTTGATATTTTACGCGTACATTATATAATAGATTCTAATTATTTTTGCATGTTTCTTTGCGTCTTTCTATCTATTTGTTATATACGCGCTGTTAATGAAATTTAAAAAAAAAATTTCTTTATCACGTACAACACACAGTGATCCACATTAATATTTAAACACCGTTGCAATTCTGTGAAATAAAACCGTGCACCAAAGCTTGAAGCTTCTGTTTCTCTTCTCGAAAATGCTACAAATTCCACGATGAATTCGAAGATCAAATTCTTTACAATGAAACTTGAAACTCGCCGAAAATCTTGACTATCAGGCGAAAACGAATATGACGAAAGTGTTATGATATTTCTTGAATTTTCGTCGCCCAATATTCAAAATAGCGAAAAAAAGAATCACACATCAAATTTTCGAGGAGATTTTAATCTTCATTGTGGAGTCGTGAAAACAATTTTTGAACGAATCTATGAATCGTGAATCTATTACAATGTTTCCACAAACTCTGACAATTTTTCTTGAAAGTAACAGTATCTTCGCTTTACCATCTGCTACGTAGGGTAAAAGTAACATCTCAGAATAAACTGAACGATGCTTTTTGAAAGTGGAAGCTTCGAACTTCAGAAACGAGCCCAGGTTTATTGTTTGCGCGATTCATTTATTTTCGTTTTCATCCAGAAATCGTGATACTATAAATTCTTTTCTCCAAGATTGTGATATTTTAAATATCAATCGTTACTGTAAAATACCTTCGTAGATTATTAGATTTCTATATGAATTTATTTCCCTCCCTTTTCGAGACGTGCAGTCTCTTTTGAAGCAACCTGTAGAAACTTCTGCGAATCGATTGCACCTTTGTTCACTAGGGGGAAAAAAGTAGGAAACGTACGTCGAGAAGTAATCGTAATCGTAATCGTAACACTCGGTGGAGGCCACCACAGCATGGATAATTAAATCGCGGAAAATCGAGGAACGCGTGTTATTAATAAAAAAAAAAAAAGTGACTGTCTGTTACTTTGGTCGAACTGAAATTACGCGCCGTTAAACGGCGGCGAAGCTGAAGTAGGCTCGGCTAAAGAGCGCGATTTATTTTACGATCGTTTCGTTTGTCAGGTTCCCGTACAAATTTACGATGTATCGCGTATGAAAAGGTTACACACGGCCGGGTATTATCAATAAACTGGCACTCGAAACACGCGCGACACGAAAGTCATTAACGTCGAAATTTGTTTGCAAATTGCCGGTCACGATGCAACGGGCGTGAGAATTTTACAGCAATGGTGAATTGATGCTCGTAGGAAATGAATGTTTCGCGATGGGATAAAAATTCACGACGCCGGGAAATTTTAACTTTGTTGAATTTATATCTTTGGATATAAACAGTGCTGGCAATATAATCACTGGATATAAGCAATACTGGCAATATATCGATTATAAAAAGGAGATGTACGTGTATGTGTGTGAGTAGAAATTTCGTTGACAGTCTAAATCGCAGAAGTTTGATATTATAAAAACGAACGATGTCGTGTAAAAATTGCGCTGCAACCAGCAAGGTAAATAATTAATTTACTTATCAACTATTATTTTATTCCTCATTCGTCATTTTTACGTTTTCTTTTTTCTTAAATTTTTTCCTCCGATATTACGTTGAAAATAAAAAAAAAAAAAATAATAATAATAAATTTCTTCGATTTCAAAGTGTTTTCTTTCATATTGTCTAGTATTAGTACAGAGTTCGTGGATAGCAATTTCATCGACGGTAATAACCGAATCACTAACGCATGCACTATTAATAGATATTGGATTAGCCAAGTTAATGAGAAGTTAGTTTAGGAATGCCAATTAGTTTGTCGATAAGGATATATATAACTTCTAATTCGTGGAATAGATGGTTCACCGCCGTGTTCGATCCGATAAGATATCGCTCGTTGCTTTGCAAAATGTGTACTTTTTCTGCATAATATTTCACTAGATCATCAGTTCACGTGTTAAAGACGCGATTATTCTGTTGAAATTTCATCAAGTTCGAATATGCCTTCAACAACGTCAAACTGACTTTAAATTTTCAACAATCTCCAAGATAAATAAATCAATCGTACTTAACGACGAATATATAATCGCCGTGATGAATTTCAGTGGACAATTGCCCGAAATCTCGTGACAATCAGGCAACAAAACTGACGATGAGAAAGGAAAAGAAGAGAGCCGAGTAATGTGTACTTCTTCTATAATATTTCACTAGATCATCAGTCCACGTATTAAAGACGCGATTATTCTGTTGAAATTTCATCAAACGAACATATTCAGTTCGAATATGCCTTCAACAACGTCAAACTGACTTTAAATTTTCAACAATCTCCAAGATAAATAAATCAATCGTACTTAACGACGAATATATAATCGCCGTGATGAATTTCAGTGGACAATTGCCCGAAATCTCGTGACAATCAGGCAACAGAACTGACGATGAGAAAGGAAGAGAAGAGAGCCGAGACTCGCGGACGTTAATCATAGAATTATCACATCTTACGTGGGATCAACAGGTGTCACGGCATTCACAGCAGCGGAAACACGCAGCACGCAAACTAACAAACATGAATATTCAATAAGATATCGATTAATGTAAAATTATCGCGGCACAATGACGATTGAATTCGGTATCGTTATCGATTAAACACGCCGCCTCTTGCAACGTACAAACGATCGTCAGTCATCCGTTATCCAGAGAGCTTTATCTGGCCGTTCGTTTCGAATAACTAACTCGAAACTGTCATCATCTCCTGTTGCAGGGAACGCGTTCCTGGTGAACGTCGCACTGGCGGATCTGTTGGTAACAGGCCTCGTGATACCGGTGTCGGTGATCGTGATCCTGGCAGGACACGAAGAGTCATTGAGCACATGCCGATTCGAATGCACTCTCGAGGCACTTTGCTTCCTCGTTACCGTGTTAACGCTGGCCACCATAGCTGCGGAGAACTACATCCGCTTGTGCCTGCCACCGGAAAGGTAAGAATTGGAACACGATCTACAGATTCTTGTCACCGATTATGGCCTCAATTTTAATCCATTGGCATTATGGCATTATGGTTTTCTGGCTTCGAGCTCTTTGAAGTTTTTCTCACGTTACTTTCCCTCAATTGAGGAGGAAAGTTTCTGTTTGTTGTTGTTCACCTTAATTTATCGCGATTAAGTCGCCGATTTTTGAGCAGATTTTTTTTTTTTTT